AACCTTAGTAACTAAACCATAAATACGCGCAAGATGCATAATTAAGAATTCATAAAAATGTATAAGACTTTACTAAACAAAATCAGTATAATTTTATAGAGAGAAATCATAAATGGTGCTTATATGATTGCTAAAGTCATGTAGTTCACTAGTTATTTATTGTTTAATTGAATACTTAGAAGTAAAAATGACATTTCCCAAACACAATCGTAATAAAAATTCATTAAAAATAGTATCAGATTCAAAGTTGAATACATTAACATACCTAGATGTACTGGATTCGTGGCTTTATGGTATAAGTAAGTCTTCAATGGGGCATCCTAATTACCACCCTTCAGGAAGTTAGAAGGCTCGCGCCTCAAGATCAAATGCATGCATTAACACCATGGTTATTATCACAAACATTCACTAGCAATACAATATAGTATCGCGTTATAGAAGTATTAAATTTGGCTAAGTCCGAGAAGCTAAATTAATACAAACACCGATTAAAGGAAGTGAATTCATGTCCAGGGGTAAAAGGAGATGTCAGCTTTATCTGGTATCACATATAGGAGCATCAAAAATACGAATATGGCAAAAATATCATCGTAATAAAAATATTTTACAGGTACGAAAGCTGGATGCAATAAATGAGTCAAAACCTTGAGACAAATTTCTTAGAATATTAAATAAATAGTTTACTAGACTGAGCTCTCATTAAAAAATATTAGATTAAGATACAAGAGCCAGCTAAGATAGGTGAAACTGATAAATTTTGTCCTCTTTATTATATGAATAATTAACGCCCATTGAATATGGACAGTGATCTAATCAATATCCTTAGAAGAAATCGAGAATGAGTAAAGTCCTTCTGATGAAGATGCATAGTTCAGTTGACCACGTGATCGTAATCGCAAGCTAATGAAAAAATATACAAATGAATATTAGAAATAGTTCGCTAGGCCAATATCTGCAGTGATACGTCGATACATCATACTTTTGCTTGACATGATGGGTGTCGATTGGCCAAATATGTCTAAATTTATATTATAACGAATTAAGCACTGTAAATACCAGGATATTTATATAATCAATCGTTTACTTAACTAGGCTAGAGCAGTGTTGGATAAAGGTACAAGTAAATCGGCGTTAAGAATACAGCTTTGTTGCAATACAAACTTACCAAAGTTTTAGGCACATCCCCCAATCATATATTGGTATCAAGATACTTATCAATGAAAGCCAAGAAAGCCGATTTCCCTGACTATATGTCACATAAATAATACTAATAAAAAGTCAGAAGCAGAAATTATTTTATGCATTAATGAAGCATCAAGCAAAATGGGAATAAAAAACCGTTGAAGAAAATAAGTTCCCCGCTTCCAAAACCTATACACCTTTTATCTAAGATCAACTTGGGTGACTCAAAATATCTTGATAATTTAGGTAGGAATTGCTCCTGCAATGTTATGGATCAGTTGGAAATCCACTTATGCATTTAATTTGTTGAATAAAATTATAGAAATAGAACTTTCAATAATAGTGAAAAGTTTCCATCCACTTTTTATAGCATAAATGATGTGCCAATGCTTGTACAGACTAAAGTATTTCACTCGACTATGGTTAGAAAGGATTTAAAATTTCCATGATATATAAATGAAAGGGTTCTCTCCTTTATAGTCTCCTATTTACTTACCTGCTAGCTGAGCGAAGAAATCCGGCCCTCCAGACAGGTCCACGACCCAAGGCAACAAGTCAAGCAGCAGATCGAGCCAGGAACTGGTCATTAAATAATTTAGGCAATCATCCATGCTAAAAGTAGGACTATCCTCCATGGATTGTTTTGCACCTGTTTGGCTATGGAAGCGCTCTATTACAGCTTCACCAGTAGGGGAGACAGACTGACTAGACTTCATTGAATGAGGACGAAGAAAAAGATGATCGTTCCTTTGTAAAGCAGGCTCTCCTAAATAGGGTTTGATGTTTGCGTTATCGGTTATATTAAAACCACGAGAATCATCCAGACTCTGGTCATACTGCATTGCCTGAAGGACAGCAAATATACCAATGGCAAGCTGGTGCCTATGCTGTTGACGATTGTCCCCAGATAAGAAAGTGAGACTAGGTAGATTTTGAGGTGGGCGAAAGGCATGAAAGCGATTAGGCGTCTGGAAAGTATCAATCTAGCAAGACATGGAATAGAACGAGGAAAAGAAAGTGAAGGAGTAAGGGTACCTTCGTTTATTTTAAGTATTAACATTATAGGGCCATATAAAGTGGTTTACCACCAATTAAATGTCATTCTCAATTTTATTTTCTTTCACATCCTAGTAAGAATAAAACAAGGATTTTAGAATAAATGAATGCATTTCAGGATAGATCAAGACCGCTAAGACTGATGAGAGTTAATTTTATCTATAATCAAAACATATGTACTTTGCAAGATTTTTTTGCAAATTAAAATAAATTTAGGGTAAAATATCGATAGAGAACTTTTTCGGTTGTGGAAAATAGAGCCAGCAAGTAGAGACGAGGGATGATGAGGCTTGATGTCAATACAAAAGAAATAGCAGGGGTCAACTAGCAAGAATATATGGACTTAACATTTCATTGTATTATATTATTGAATTAGTTCCAGCTATCTATATTCCATAATTTACAGCCGTATCAGGTACTGCAAAAGAAAAAACTATCTATCGACACAACATAAGATTCAGAAAAGAGAATAATCTATATAACTTGATGAATCTGGAGATAAATATTATGGTAAATGTTTGGTGATCAATGATAAAAGATTAAAAATGTGGAGAAGAGAACGCTATAAATTAGAAAGAAAGATTAAGCCCAGAGTACAAATTCAGGAAACAAAGCTGAAGTATATGTAGCGTTATCGCTTATGCTTCGAATAAAAGTGTATCACGGATGGGATTTCGCATTTTCAAATTCGAGTACTTTTTTGAATCGGTTTAGGTCAGAATTTCTGGAAGAAAAAGTAATTACACGAGAAGGCATGATAAATGGGAAACCCTAGTCAGATGCAATAACAAGGCTAGCTTCTTTAAAGGTCGGCACTCTAAAATACGGTCTGAATCGAATTACTAGTCAATAGTCAAGAGGATTAGACTTTCTAACGAGAGATCTAGCACAACTTGAAAACAAATTAGACACTCCTATATATTATTTTGTCAGGGCCTCTGAAGCAGTTAGGCAAACACAACGAGGATATGTAGAAAAATCGGGTTTAGAATTATCCCTTAATTGATTGATGTATGAGGCGAATGCAAGGGATTCGTAAGTTGGCCTCACCGGAAGCTATAGGGAGATTACCCTGAACCTGTGATTGTAGATATGTGCGAATAAGTCCACAGCGCAGTACCCTACGACCCCGATGAGGCCCTATGGAACTTTGATCCGTCATGTGACGGACATCGTCAGTGCAGGAAACCATGCTTAAAGATAATTCCTCAAAACACGAAGGCAAGAAAGGTAGCCGGCTTTAAACCAGTCTACTACTTGTAATCCAATTTGGTCCACTTACTTAGGTATCTCATGTTTAGGTTGGATATCCTATGTTTTGCCTAAATGTTTGCTGAAAATTAAATTAAATGGCTGGGAATAAAGCGTGAAACGGATGCAATCATGACCGAACAGTTGTATCATTCCCTAAAACACGTATGCTTTTGATCCTCTAATGTTACTGCATGTGCTTGCGTTCAAGTGCATTCGAGCTGTATGAATACATTGTTCTTGAAGAGTGTGATGAGAGAGTCAAAGTGCAGTATATCCGTAGCTCTTCTGGATCATTATTCATTAAGACAATGATTTATTATTCTATATTAGACCGACTTAGACCTGAAAATGTTCAGAAGGAAACTTGGCGCCATGCAGACAACACAATCGCTCTCTTATCGCCGTGCCACTGTGACCAAGTACGCGATTTGGCTAGTTGATATCTATCTATCTAT